CGGGGGTGAGCTGAGGTGAGGTTGAGGGGGAGCCGAGGGGCCCAGCCGCCCCGTCGCTTCTGCGAGCGGGGATGGGGCTGGGCCCGGCCTGTCCGCGGCGGGAAGGCGGGCAGCCGCCATGGCCGGCCGCGGCCTGCCCGCCCACCCCGCCGACCCGCTCCTTCCCTCCCTCCCTTCCTCCCCGCAGGGCGATGCGGCTGCCCGGGCTGTTCGGGCGGCTGAAGGCGGCGGTCGTCGGGGTGGTGCATGTGGGAGCGCTGCCAGGTAAGCGGCTCGGGAAGCGGGCCCCCGGAGCGAAGGCCGCTCCCCGAGCAGCCCGTCCCCTCAGCGCTGCCCTCGTGAGGGGCCGCGGATCGGGGATCGCCCCCCTCTCTGGAGGTGAAGGAGGCGGGAGGCACCGCCACGCAGGGGGCCGGGCTGGGAAAAACAGGGTTTGGTGCCGGTGGGCTCCCCGCTGCCGGGTTTTAAGGGGCAATGGCTAGGAAATCTTAGATATCAGGAAGAAATTCTTTACTCTGAGGGTGGTGAGACACTGGAACAGGTTGCCCAGGGAAGTTGTGGATGCCCCATCCCTGGAAGTGTTCAAGGCCAGGCTGGATGTGGCCTTGAGCAACCTGCTGTAGTGGGAGGTGTCCCTGCCCATGGCAGGGGGGTTGGAACTAGATGATCTTTGAGGTCCCTTCCAACCCAAACCATTCTATGATTCTAAGTGGGCCTTGGGACGGGATAGATTTTGGAGTGAGCTCTGGCAGGGCCTGAGAGGCAAGAGGAGGCTCTGCCAACGGGCAGGTCTGTTCCAGCCTGACCTCCTCACCCGCCTCCCCAGGGCTCAGGGCAGGCAGAGCTGAGCACAGCCTGTCCTTCCCCTGGACAGGACGGTGCCTGGAGCTCGCCGTGCTCCACGCTTTCCCAGATGGCCAGCTTTCCCCATGCTGTGACACCAGCCCATCTAAAAACCTCTTCCCAGTCCCCATTTCAGACTCTCCGTGCCTGGCTTTCGGAGCCCAAGGGCCAGAAAAGACTTTGGAGTTGCTCTTAAGGGAAATTCTTTGAACTCCCAACAAAATCCGTGCGTGCTCATCTCTGCCATGAAGCGCTTGTGCTGAAGGTCAGATGGAATCAACCTTTCAGATTAGAATTTAAGATAGCTTGAACTAATTTTAAACTGACTGGTGTTTTGCATAGGTGTTCTGCAGGCCTAGAGGTCGGTCTTGCTATAGGTCATATTGCATGGAGCATCACTAATGCAGGATAAGCTGTAATAAGTACAGGAATAACAAGCTAAGAGCAGACCTGGTACAATAAGAGATTATAGCAGATATTCCTCAAATTTGCGATATAGATTTAGGGGCTGAATGGTTACAGCAGATCTGTCGAGTTCAGCTAAGGAAAGAGGTGCCACTAAGACATGTCACAAGGAGATGCAGCAGCCTTTTACCAAGTTTGCCCTGTTTCTCCCTATTGCAGTATTCCAGTCTCTACAGTAACCCTACCTGAAAGCAGTTACTGTATGTGGGTTTGGTTTATGATTGTCCTGAGATAAACAGCATTATTCTTGCAGGGACACCAAGAAGTTGTCTTCCATTGACCCAGATCATTGATCAAGCTTGTCAAGAGGCAGCAACTTACAAGGATGCAGGAGTTGTAAGTTTTGTTTTCCTTCTTCCTATGGCAACATTTACACAAGGCTGCTTCTGCATAGCCAATATTTTAGATTGAGTCTGTAATTCTTCAAAAGCATCTTAAACCACATGGTTTAGGAAGATGTTTAAATCCACATCTTTTATTTCAATGTAGTAAGTAGATCTTCTAGGTTACAAAACCTAAAATAAGCATCCCATGCACCCAAAACAATTGAAAAAGCTTAGATTCACATTGTGCAATTGAAGTTGCTTCAGCTGAATTACCATCAATCTCTAAGAATCAAGTCAATTTAAGGCAAAAAAAAAGTAAGTTGATTGCAACCTGGAGGGTTGCTGGCATTCCAGGTATCTGGCTGTAGGATGCTTCATCATCCACTGACAGGCCACTGTATTTTTAGCTCTGGTTTCATGAAGTCACAGAGGAATGCTGTGCGCACAGCTGAGGCACTGCACAGATCCCTCACTCGCTTGCAGGGAGTGAGATTGCCCCACATTGGTGTTTGCACCAAAACAGCACAGACTTGGGGACTAAAAAAGAAGTTTAGGCCCTTTTCTGCCCCCTTTAACCCCTCTATCCGAGCCCCCTGGCAGCAAGCATGCCTGCTTTGCACCTCTAGAAGACAAGGCCCAAAAGGCCAGTCTCAGCCAGAGGCAAGAAGTGGCAGATGCTAGCGACTGAATTGCTGTTGGACCTAAAGTGGTGTAGTAATCTTCATAGGTCAGTAGATTTTAACAGGGTATGTGTCCTTTTAAAAGGTCAGATATGTTTTAAACATTTCATTGCACCTTGTCTCCGGGTGTTGATGTGCTTTTTCTTTGACCTGCCTACAGTATTATATACATTTTCTGGCATGGTAAAGTGGCATCCTAATGTCCAAAGCTTGAAAATGCCTTAAATGAAGTAATCACTGCTCTGAGCATCTGTTTTCTGCAAAACTTTAATAACCAACCAGTTGAAACCTTTTTATTACCATAAATTAGAATTACACTCTACAGACTGAACAAAATTGAATATAACAGTTTAGACTAAATTACAGAAGACCAGATCAAAATGCAACACAAGTCACATGAGGCAGGTTATGGGCAGAGCACTAGTAAGGCTAAATTAGAAAAGAATCCTGAGAACAGAGTTGTTGAAAGGACAGACAGCTCTGCAGAAGAATGCTGTTTACACGGGCAGGCTCCAGTGCCTATGAACCAGATGAGTGTATGCAGGATGTTCACCCAGTTGGAGTAATCTCCAACTGCAAGTTGTACAGAATGAGTAAGTTTTTTTTTTCTTTTCATGCCTGTTGAAAGAACAGGTGTGCAACAGCTCTGTATTCTGTACTGTGACTTTATATTTTGTCTTTACAGTTACAGTATCAACATGAGGTATAATGTGATATGATCTACATCAGAGGAGTGGCAAGTACTAGTCGCTGTCTTCCTGTGTTAGAGGAAGTGGTTACAAAAGTGATCTATAACTCCAAAAGCCATTGCCCCACATTCCAGTGCTTGTTTACCTGCTTCCCTTACATACTGAGTGCACATTGAAACCTGTAGCAGCAGGGAGAAAACACCAAGGGAGGGTACAGAAGCAGTTCCTTTCACTGCTGACATGCACCAAGCTGGAACAGCTTTGAGACATGCTTTAAAAATCAGTACTGACACAATTTTAATTTGTGTTTTATACTTTAGTGGTTTTTCAACGATTGTAATAAATTCTGCTCTTCCAAGTCTAAGCGGTTTACCTTTTCTCCTACTGCATTGCTGTTTCTGATCTTGAATATATTTTTAAACCTACCTCTCAGGTAGGCAGATGAGGTGAATGCAGTTATTCCTCTACACATTTGGACAAATTCAGGGCTTAAAGTTATGCTTAGTCTATTTCCTGTGGAAGTCACAAGAACATCAGTATACATTCCACACCAATCTTGAATCTAAAGGTCTGTACACAATAGTGTTACAGCAGTACGACAAACAAATCCTTTATTAATGCCATAAAGGTCAGAGATAATCAGGAGAGCTTCCATAAATATCAGTACAGTTGCCTAACACTTCCTGCAGTTCACTTGTTTGGTTTTTACTGGTACTTACTGTGAAATGCAAGATTTCATGACAGATACTTCAGGAGCTTCCTGGCTTTTGCGCGGAGATCACCGCTCTTCCAAACTAACTATCCCGATTCTGTAATGGGAGTATATTTGGGTTTCCCCTCAGTACTGCGAGTAAACTGCTAAGCACTCTGTTTTTCTTGTAGAAAAAGAGCTAGAAATTTCAAGGGTTTTTTTCCACAGATGTTTCTACTGACAGTATTTCCCAATGCTGTCTTTAAGAAGATACGTAACCATCTTGCTGCTACTAGATATTTACATATTGTCTCAAGTGCTTGAATTGGTCTTAACATTTAAAAATAAAGTTTATGGCTTTGCTCACTCAATATGCATTGCACTTAGAAGTAAATCCTAGTATTTTAAGTAAAAGGTGACTTGTCTGGCATATTAGCAGCTTAACATAATAAATATGAAAGATTTATGATATTAGAGCAGAGTAATGAAAACAAGTGAGTGCTCAGTTAGGAAGCCATCTGTGCTCAAAACGTATATACTCTGTACTCGTGCATTGCTAAAGAATGAAAATCCCTAGACAAAATTTTATACACAGCAAGCTACAAGGCATTATGATACCTACAATTTCTATCTGATTTTACTTAAGAAAAATACAAAATATATATTCAAGTTAACTTACTCATTCTGTTCAGCCTAGGCGACGTTTACTTTGTAGCCAGTTGCCTCTGATTTAATTGATATAGATCACTTTACTACTAATTGCTGTTATGTAGCTGAAGCTACTTGAGTAGCTGGAGTTAAAGACAGAGATACATAAGTAAAACTATTTCTTTAAACAAACAAAATTGCCCAAATTACAAAGCTGCATTGAGTTGCAAGTACCATGGGGCTTCTTACCACACAAAATTTTAGGTCTGCTTCTTCATTGCTGTCTCTAGCGATGCGTTCATTGCTCTTTTAATGCCACTGACCCTTCTTTGGGCTCTGTACCTGGAAGTTGCTAGTACCTGTTTTGAAAAAATGAGGAGTTTTAAGCCTATAACTATTATAACTACAATAATAGCTAGAGTTCAAATTTCTTAAAATTTAATAATAGTTGAGGCAGAGTAAACTATAATTTCTGTATAGAAACATTTAGGTAATTATCACTTCGATTACAGAAGTTAACATTTCAAATCTTAGCTATGTTACAGCAGAATAAAATAGCAGACAAACCTCCCCACAACTACTGCCTATAGCATATGCAGGACAGCATATCTACTTATCTAGAGCAAGGCTGTAATCTCTTGCTCTGGAGGTAGAGCTTTTAAAGGAATTGCTAGGAGGCGGTGCCTAGACACAGCGAATAAATGCTCTACAAATGCACATGCTTTCCTTTATAAGGGACAGGTGAGTCAGGTGATGGGAAAGGCTGTAATTGTCCTGGTGTGTACCTGAGGTTGCCTAATAATGGGGTATGGTACAAAAGCCCCCTTTCATCCTGTAGGAAAGAGTGGTAGTTGTAAGCTTGCAAAGCTTTGTATTGGTATGTATGTGTTTGTAGGTAAAGCCTTTCTGTTAGGGCAAGCACGGGGGTTAGAGTTGCCTGAGGTAAAAGTTACATTAGGTAGATGCTGAGTTAAAGCTTTTATGATTGTTGTACCTGTTGTGGTTTATAGGGTTGTGGCTATTTTGAGGTATGTCTGCTGTGATATGTGTGCATGCAGCTGAAGTGTTTTAAGAGGTCGTTTCTATAAGTGGAATAAAGCAAAGGAAATTATTTTTCTATATAATCGGAGAGCTATTTAAATGACCTATTTTCCAGTAGCTAACTGTGACACAAGAGGCACTTTGCACACATGTAGTACTTCAGGAGTCATTCAAAGAAAAAAGGAAATATATTGTTTGAGAATTACTTATAATAAGGCTATTATATAGAAGCAACACTTAAGCCATCTTAATTTTTAATGGAAAAGGAACACAAAAGGTATGTGCTGGAGTTTTACCTCATACTATCTAAATAAATTCTGCTTTGGAGGGTGTAATATAGTAGCTGTTTCCATAGACTTCTGAACTATAAGCTTAAGTTCCAAGAACTTTAATTTAGCGTAACTGTTTTCTTTCCACCATTTTAATTAGCTGTCTGATAGTACTGGAGTCTGTTTTACATACATATCAATTCAGTAAACACAGAAATCTGTGGTGTTATATTTTTATATAAAATATAAAAGAAAGCTTTGAGTTAATGCATCTGTAATTCAGCTCTCTGTATTGCAGAACATATGTTGTTCTTTTTTAATTAAACAAAACATAATATGCAAAAGAACATAGTCTATCGGATGGTACCAAAAGAATAACACATTATTAAAGTAATACCAAAAATATGCACTGTAACTGTGGACCTTGAGGCCATAGGAAGAGACAACTGTGGAAAAGTGAATATTCCAAGTTTAAAGCAAAAGAGAGAAATGTTGGAACCCTCCCATATGTCTGCATTTTGAATTAGAATTCAATCAGATACTTCTTATGCACAGTAGTATGGCTAGGGTTTCTAGTTAATTTTTAAATGAATTAATTCATTAATGTATCTAATGGAATAATTTGCTTTATGCAAATCCTGAGCTGTCAAAGTAGTAGCAACTCATGGAAGGCATGGAATTCTGCCAGCCTGTTCTGCTTTTTCAGCTGCTAGCATGGATCTTCAGGAGCTGAGCATCTGAAGCCCTGTTCCCAGGCACCTTTCTTCACCTGTGTCCTGTTGAGGTTGGGTTTTGACTGCCTGAAACCCTGGGGCTTCTGGTTTGCAGGTCCTAGCTTCTTGCCCTGTGATGAGCTTGGAGTTTCCCAGATATCCAGGTTTTGGTGAAGTCTGCCAAGTAGAGCATTCTTGAGCTGGGGACCAAGGGCTTCAGGGTTCTGCGGCCTCAAGGAATTATCTGGGTTTGAGGGTTCATTTGCATTTTTTGAGTTTGTTTTGTTAAAGTAGTATAGTTCCACATTGATCCTTTTGCCCCATATTACTTTGACAAACTTAGACAGACTGAATATATTTATGTGCACGGAGGGCTTCTCTTTCTGTTGGTACCACAGGATTCAGTGGTTGTGTCTGAGGTACAAGACCATTTGGTCAGTTTGGGTTTGTTGGGACAGTCCTAATGTCATTCTAGAGCAACCAATTAAAAATGATTTTTTTTTCATTTCTGAAAATTCTGCAGGTTTTCTGAGGACTGGTTGTCATCTTTGTCATATGGCTGCTCCCATCACGCATAGAGAAGTGTGGATGTTAAATTAGATATTTAATTGGACTTAGAAATAAAATCAAGGACAGATGTTTTGGTTATTTGTCATATCTGGTTTTCTTTTGCCTAGTTGAGGTTTTCTTGGACTGGAAATCCGTAATTAAATATGCTGATGACTGGCACCAAATAGCGCATAGATCTAATGTTGGGTGCTCATAATATTAAATCACTGTTTCCATTAATAGGTTGTGTCCTTTTGTTTTTAAGGTAGCGTGTATTTTGTATATTTAAACACCCAGCTGTAAGTCATTTGGCAAAGGCAGCTCTACCCGGTGCACAGAACGTATGTGTGTTGTGTGCTTGGAATGGCCATATTCTTCCACCGGATCATTTCCATTCTCAGTTTTCCCCATCCTCCATGTTTGATGTTCATTTATGATGTCAGTGGCTTAGCCTGTAATTCAGCTGTTAAATGCTGACTGCATTTTATATACTGTCTTATCTTTTACTGCCAAAAGGGCTTCTACAATACAACAAAGATTAAAGAAGCGTTACATATGAAAGTTTTTAAAAAAGGAAACCTTTTTTTTCCCTTCCTGATTTTTTAGATTATTATTAACCAAACTTCTTTGTTTAATCTCTAGTTGTATTTTTTCCACAAATGTTATTCTATTTTAGTTCAGTTACAATATCTTTGAAATGTAGAGCTCTCATTTTAAAGGATTAAGATGTGTGATAAAACTCTAGAGAGAGTGGAATTTATTTTCTATATATACAATTAATTTGTCTATTAAACCTTTGTATTTTTAGACTGAAGCAGGTGAAAAATTTCTAGCTTCTTTTAACAATTTCACTGCAAATGCAAAACATCAGGCTTGAAATATGTTTCAAGGCTATACTTTTACTCTTTGTTGTTGGTCCTTGACAAAATTATATATGATTTGCTGTTGTTGAAAACTTTCTGGTATATACTATACAACGATTGGAAAAGTACAAGGTACCAGATAATGTGCAAAGATTTTCAATAAATTGCATTAATTATATCAGCAGAGTATCTTATAATTATTCCATTGTTTGCTAGGAGTATGTCTGTGTGGAGTGAGAGGTATAGTAGATAATAAATAGCAATATCTTCCTTCAAGTAATTCTGAACCCAGAATGGGAGAAATATCAATAATTAATACTATGGTATTAGGCACACTGCAAATAGGCACAATAATAGTCAAACAAAAAAATCCTTTATTTATCCAAAATAACACTTATTTTCTGACATTAATTGAACTGAAAATTGCCTTGATTATCTCTAAATCCTCCGTTATCCAAACATACTCGATATCCTATATTCCAGTTGGATAATTGTAGTTTGACTTTACGCTATTTTAATGAGGTATAAGATTTAACTCATTCGCCTATAGTTCGCGTTTTAGGATGGATCAAAGGAACCAAATTGATGAATGTATAGCTAAAATGAAAGTGGTTATTTGCATCACCACAATGTACTGTAGATCATCCTTCCTTTGAAGGGAAGCCTTTAAACTCGGGTGTCTTTTAATACAAACCAGCGTAATGGTAAACTAGCCTTTTTCTTTTTTTTTTTAAGCTCCTTTTTTTTTCCCAGTTTAATCATGTTTCTTTATAATAATCTCCACAGGATGGCTTGATAGTGGAAAACATGCACGATGTCCCTTACACGTTGTGTCCTGGTCCCGAAGTGACAGCGGCGATGGCGGTCGTTAGCGCTGCGGTGAGACAGACCTGTCCCCGCCTGGCGCTGGGCGTCCAGGTCCTGAGCGCCGCAAATCGACAGGCGCTGGCCGTGGCTCTGGCTGCAGGTAATAGAAATGACTCCTGGGTTATTACTGCTGTTTGCCATGGCATTTACTCTCTGCAAATTGCGCGTTGTACTAAACACAGATGCTATGAAAAATGAGACATGAAAAGCTCACTGTACCCTGAAAAAGCAGAAATTAGATTTTTTTTTTTGAGAAAGATGCCTGCTTGATTATAACAGATGATACTTGCAACGCGGCTTCAGTTGGAGGCAGCTAAAAATCCCAAGGCCGCTGCCACAGCTTTCTAGGTGAAACCTGTCTAAATATAATGATTAGTTTAAACCTACTCATGTCTAAAAGCCACCTTTGGTGTAACTCTATTTACTTCAGTTAAATTATATTTGAGGATCAATTTAACCCACTGTGGTTAAGTATCCTGTTTCAGCATCTAATTATGTGTTGTTGCTACTACTGTTATCCATTAAAACTAAGTTTTCATTGCCTTCTTTTAATGAATGGATAGAATGAAGCTTTTTATATAATAACAAAAAATTGAGTGTACAGCTAGCCAAGCTACTTAAAATTAAATTGCATTTGGGGGAATTAAATATAAATTAATCTATCTTTATTGCATGAATCCTAGACTTGCTCACCTTTCTGCTCCTACTGCTTGCTGAAGCAATTTTAGTTTTTCATGTGTAGCATTCCATGACTTAAAGATGGAGGCTGGTTTAATATGGAAGGCTTGTACCTCCTAAATATTTCATAAATTGAGGTATAATGCCTGGTTTTGCCCAAATTGCATATGTGATTACAGTAAGGTAGCACATTTTTGAATGTACAGATTTTATAGAGAGGCAGAATTTTGTAAGAATGCAAAACTAAGATGATGGTGTTAATTGAAAACCATACTTCAGATAAAATAATGTAAGCTAATTGATCTGCAGTGGCAGTTTTAACTATGTTGAATATGTTCTAAAAGTCTTAAATTCCTTTTTTCTTGGGGCAATTCTTGTTAGTAGATGTGTTTTGAACTCAGATTTGAGTGCCTTAAAACCATAAGTTGCCTTTTTCAAGCTACTTGACAAACTGACAAAACCTAATTTCTATTGCTGCAGTAGAAGCTATATGAAAACCTAAAATAAAAACACAAACAGAACTCAGTTGTAGTTTTTAGGGATTGTATGCACATGGGATACTTGAGGTACATAGGCATTTGGAAAAATATTTACATATCCTATTTTTAAAAGCAGTAGTCAAACTGTTGGTGAGTTAGACATCCTTTTAGGAGCAAATTTGATCACTAAATAAGGCATATAGTGTAGGAGCAATGTAATTCTCTTACTTCTCAGCAATTATTAATGAGGGAGAGAATTCCTGGAGGCCTTGGGTTTTCCTCAGCTCTACTGCTGTTCTGGGCTATTTGCCTTGTAACTGGAGAACACCAGCTAGGAAGGGCTTGTGTTTAATGCATTTCATTGCACTTCTCTAAGAATGATTCTCTCAAGTTCACTGAACAGGAAAGCAAAAAGAAAAGAAAATCACTTTAAGCAAAACCATAGTAAAGTGAGTGCTACTTTCTAGTTAGCAAATCTTTGAGTATTTTTTCAGTAGCAACTTAGTAGTGACTTTAATGTCAATACAATTTTAATAGATGGCTATTAACAAAGCAAGCTCTCTATGCTTTCACTACAGAAAATACTTGCTGCAGGTGTTTTAGCTAAAAAGCATATGTAGTGTCTCCTGCTACTTTGCAGTAATTTAATTTTCCCTGTGGAAACTCCTATCTTTAGTAGAAATAGCCGTTCTGAAGAGAAATACAGTAGGAAATACTAAGTGTTCTCTAGGTGAAGGTAAAGATTTTATTTTGTAAAGGGGAAAAGCAGTCAGCAGGTTCACAGTGTGACCAGAAGGAGCTCAACATCAGCAACAGGTGGTTATGCTAATAAACATGTAGTGGGTAGCCAAATAGTTTTCCTAGCATATTGATAAGGTATTGGATAAATCTGAAAATAACAGTAATAAATCAGGGGATGAGGCATCTGCAAAGGTTAAGAATTCTTAACATTTATTTTGGTTCTTTAGGAAACATTTAATTAGGCACCTAAAAGAAGGAATGCGAGCAAAAATGTGTTCATGCTGGGTGCTTCAGCAAAGGTACAGGACAGTGGTAGGAAAATAGTGGGGGATCTCGAGGAAAAAGGGAACGCTGTGTCTCCACTCTTCTGATGGAAACAAGCAGTTCCTCGAGTTGTCATAACTATTGAGCCAAAACAGTTGTTGTCAACATCCTCCCAGCTTCAAAAGATTATTGTAGACTGTTACGCTGGTGCTAAATGCTCTTGGTTCAAGGCACAGAGAGGTCCACCACGGGGGGCTGAAGGATGCGGTTGCCCAAGAGCATCCATTGGGCAGGCCATGGCATCCTCCAGCCCTGGGCATCGTGGCAGGGCACATGTTGCCCCTCCATCTGCCCCACAAACCACTGTCGCTGCCTCTGATCTTTGCTTTTGCTTTCCCTCTGCTCCTAAGGGAAGATATGGCAATGTTAGCCCACTCAAAAATTAGTGTAATTATATAGACAAATAGTGGGGGAGATTCATGCCACACCTTTCTTGGTATCAAAGTCCTCTGCTGCTCAATTTTTATACTTTACATACAGTAGAATGCCTAAGCAGGTCCCTAAGGAACCGTAGATCACAAAACATGGAGACAATACAGAATAGTACAGTTTTGTATTTATATTTATATTTTTGACTGGAAACCATCTTAATATCAAATACTTACTCTCAGAGAAACAACCCTTCTTAATAGTTAATTTTAATGACATCCTCTAAAGACTGTATTATCATCCTTCTTTCCTGAAATGCCCTTTGTGGAGAAGCAAGTCAGAATTTGTTTGCTAGGGTTATTTTTCAATTGGTTCATTATTAACAGGTGTACCATGTGTTTTTTAGAGGTGTATAATTTCCTGTTTGTAGTTTCTGATTTAATTAACTACATCTGCTTGAGGTTGAAACAGAATGATGTATATAAGCAGGTTCTATGAGCATTTGTAGAGGAGGTAAAAATAGATTTGCTCCCTTATTTATTTTTTGTTTAGCAAATATCCCTGGTTTATCATTTCTCAGTGCTCGGGAATGTCTGCAATATGTTCACTAAGTCTGGGTCAGATTTAGGCATAGTGTTTGGTTTGTCTTCTTTATCAGTGTGTCTTGTTTCCTGAAGTTAACCATTGTGTTAATTTCATGTACTCAATGTTGGTTGTTGGTGATCTACTTGCAAATTACATGGCTTTTCTTTTATTGAAAGTTTGCTAATTATGAACCACTATTGATTTTAGAGGGGACTGTTGTGTCTAAAGGAATTGCCCAAAAGCTCTCAGCTGCTATTTGTGTTTTTCCTTGTGTTAGATGTTTTCCTCGGCTCTAATCTATCAGTGTGGGTCCTTGCAAGGACATGCAGAGCCTTTATAATACAGGGAGTATACACTGGTGATACTCCCTTCATTTTGTACATCCTGCATGCTCTCCATTACCAGTATGTAGCAGTGATTGAGCAGAAATAAATAACTGGCCCATCGTTATTAACCTAATGGACACAAAGTTAATGGTGAGAAGAAGTATTTCAAGAAATACTGCTGTTGTGGAATATTGGCCTGGCCATCTGCTGGTCTTCGAGGCATAAAACAGTCCCCATAGCTGTTTTTCTGTAGTGATGCACAGGAACACTTCCGATATTCCAGGTACCCCTTTCTGCTGTACCTTGACTCCACAGGGTGGAAAACCCGGGCATGTGGGCCAGAGGCAAGTTGTTCTTCTCTTCTGGTCAGAGCTTCAGTCAGGGTGCCTGAGAGGAAGGACTGTAGGGTCCATGGTAGAGTGCAGTTTCCCTACACCTGGGTGAGCCTGTGTTACACTCATCATGAATCAGGGCTGAATTTTTAAGTTTATCCTCTCTCATCTCATAAATGTAGAATAGTTCAGTTGGAAAGGACTTAAAATAACTATGTAGTTCAACTGGTTCTCTGCCTGACTCTGAAACTGCACTTTTTTCCTTTAAGGATCATGTTACTGAAATCCCATTTCTGAATTAGTCTTCAGCAATGATAATGGCACAGTTGATAGCTGATTGAGTGAGGCTTCGTATCAGCGGTTATCCCAGGTACCCAGATATCACCCTGTCTTTATAAATACAGCTTTGCTGTGGGAGACCGTTCCTTTCCCTCACCCACCAGCAGAGAAACCCTCCAGGGGAATTCACTTGCTGCAGCCCACGATACTGTTTAAGGTGGGATAGAACGGGGCAGCGTTGTATCCTGCTTTTTTATTTTTCTTTTTACCTGCCCCCAGGTTAATGCTGTGGTGGAGGGGGCAGCCAAGCTGAGAGCTGCAGTGGGATCTGCTGCTTTTGGGGAGTCTAAAATTCTGCAGCAACCAGGAGCTAATGCCTTGCAGAGGCCAGATCCCATTTATGTGAAAGCAGTAAATCCCAGCTCCTTCTGGAATTCAAGGAAAGAACATTCCTGAGAGAGAGCTTCTCAACTGCATCCAATTCACTGTTTTGCAGTGTTAAAATGCAATAACATGGACATTTGCAGCATTTAAGATGGATAAAGTAAAAGCACTGTTTCCTCCATCAACTCAGTCTTGCAATATTTTCCTCGCCCAGCAGAAGTGTTTGTCATTGTTTTCCTTTTAATCATAAATTATTAGGGGAAGAAAAAAAATAAACTTTTTCCTCTACAATAGATAGACCCCCACAGCTGTTTAAGTAGGATTAAAGTAAGTGGAATAACAGTAACTTTGGGAAAAGAGACATGCTAGTTCCTTGAGCAGGCCCTGCAGTGGCTGGTTATTTGATTCCATGTTCTTTACATAGTCTTGCAATTCTGTTTATTAGGTTTTGCTGGAAATTTCCCATTCTTGTTTTCCAGTCAGATTACAAATTTTTTTTGTTCCCATATAAGTCAGAAATCGGACTGCCTATTAACTATTCAACGGCTATTACTTTTCAACTAGCCAAATGTGAAAGTAAGCAATAGTATCATTCTCACAATTTTATGAGCGTAAAAATGAATTCATTAGTGGAATCTGATTATGGCTTCATAAAACAGAAGGGTAATGATTTGGTGCCTGCACCTATTACAGTTGCTTAAAATTTGTATTTTCGTAGCCCCCAAAAACCAAGCTAGAGAGTTCAGCCTTGTTAAACTAAGTACAATCCTAATGTTTAGCAGAAAGTCTTAAATTACGAAATTTAAGAAACACAAAGAATAAACAAACAACGTATCAGCAGTGACGCAGCCTTGTTAAACTAAGTACAATTCTAATGTTTAGCAGAAAGTCTTAAAATATGAAATTTAAGAAACACGAATCAAGAATAAACAAACAACGTATCAGCAGTGACTTCAATAAATGAAATTAGTCAATGAATAGCCCCTGTCCTGAGTTATACATTATGATTGCTGTGGAAGTGTAGCATATCTTTAGACTCATCGATAGTCTCATGATTACAGGAGAAGTGATTTTTTTCTTATTTAATTCTGAATTGTACTGTAAACTTGAGTGATTTGAACAAAACCTGTAACTTGTGTTCGTAGAGGCAGAAATCTCAGTGTGGCTGTTTGCACTGTGTTTATTGCTCAGTGTCTCCCAGCACCTGTAGCTGTGCTGGTGGCACGCTCCTGTCTTTGCATCCTGAGAATGGCCCGTGCTTTTCAGCCGCTGATCCGAAGGCCTGGGACAGCTGGCCTTTGGCTGGGCATCCACCTGCCAGGCTTCCTGGGCGCTGGAGGCTGCGTTCCTAAGCAATACAGGCACTTCTCCACCAGCCAGAAGGTTTTCTTTCTGCAAATTCAGGGCTTTTGGAATGAAACTGAAATTTCAAAATGCACAGGCACCTTGTCATTGGTAAATACATTTTAAAGGTTGTTTATATTTGTATTTGAAACGTGCTAAGGTGCGGCCTCTGTTGCATAAGCAGTTCTCTGGTGGGTGGGATTGTGTTCTTCATGGCTGCTTTCACACACACTGGTTTCCTTGGTATGGAATCAGCTCTAATTAAAGTGTGCAGCAGACTCCAAAGCTGGAGCAGCAGTAGAACTTCAGAAGGGCTTGGAAAGACCTCTAAAGCAAACTGGAAGAGCAGCAAAAGCTGCACAAGATGAGTGCAGGGCTTTTACACACACATTCAGTGACAGGTGAAATAAACTTCAAGGCTATCAGAGACTGGAGAGAAGAGGGGAATACAACAAGGGAGTCAGAATGGAATTTTGTGCCTCCCAGCTGTGGGATCATTACACCATGGCCCAAGGCTTCAGTATTTCAACACAGATATTTCAAGGCTGTGTAAGGGGTTCCCAAGAGTAGACGAATGGTCTGTGTGAAATCATTGCTACTTGTAATCTTCCTCTTAAGTATCAATCTCATGAAACCTTCCTAGTGAAAGAAAATGAATTAATATGGTGGAAAAGATCTTGTAAAGATGTGGTAGAGCTGATCGGAGTAAATTCAGAGAACACAAAATGTTTCACTCTTCCCAAAGCTTATCTTTTTGTACCTTTGGCACAGCTCTAGAAGTAATTTGTTGGTGTGGTGCTGTGTAGAAAACAAGCTACACTCAGATGGAGAGAGAGCTTATCCTCCCCTCTACTCTGCCCTGGTGAGGCCCCATCTGGAGTAACGTTCTCCAGTTTTGGGCTCCTCAGTTCAAGAAGGACAGGGAAGTGCTGGAGAGGGTACAGCAGAGGCTACAAAGATGATTAGGGGACTAGAAATCTCTCTTACAAGCAAAGGCTGAGGGACTTGGGTCTTTTTATTCTGGAGAAGACTGAGGGGGGATCTGATCAATGCTTATAAATACTTAAAGGGTGGGTGTCAGGAGGATGGGGCCAGTCTTTTTTCAGTGGTGCCCAGTGACAGGACAAGAGGGAACAGGCACAGTATAAGAAGTTCCATCTAATCATGAGAAGGAACTCCTTTACTTTGAGGGTGGCAGAGCCCTGGAACAGGCTGCCCAGAGAGGTGGTGGAGTCTCCTTCTCTGGAGACATTCAAAACCCACCTGGACATGTTTCTGTGCAACCTGTTCTGGGTGGACCTGCTTTGGCAGGGGGGGTGGATTGGATGACTTGCAGAGGACCCTTCCAACCCCATGTCATTCTGTGATTCTGAGAGTCAAACAGGTTGTTTACAATGTGTTGCAGGCTGTGTTCTCTTGCCTAATTACCTAAAGAAAGAAGACTTGATGCTATCCCTCTGTCTGTGTCCATGTCCTTGATGCTTTTTGACCTGATGGCCAACTTGAGGCATATTGAACAGGGGAACAGATGTCGCGAAAGAAGTAATACAATGAAAGAGTATCTATAAAGAGGGGAGAGGCCCAAGTTAATGGCCCTTTTTGGAGAGAAGACACATGGTTAGGACAAAGGAGCTGTGTTTTGACCTACCTGCTCCTCTGCCAGCATGTGCCCACTGGCACGTCATGGCAAGAGGGTGTGCAGCTGCCTGTTCTAAGGCACAAAGGAACAAACTGGTAGGGGCTGGGAAAGAGAAAAGAACCATGGGGATAGAGAGAACTGGTGAGGTCTATGGGAGAGATGGGAGTTGAAGGTAGGAAGATGGAAAGGAGTCGTCTGAGAGAATATGGATGAAAATAAAGAATGTGAAGCTTAAATATGTGGAAAAGCAAGGTTGGTTAGTCCTAGAGCATATGGAGCAACTTGTGTTAGGAACAAACAAAAGGGGCAGCAAGGTGGAGCTTTCTTTTTTTTTAGTATTTCTGATGTTTTCAGTCTTTAGTTTTACCTAATCTATTGCTTTTTTTTTTTTTTCCCAGGTCTTGATTTTATCCGGGCTGAAGGGTTTGTGTTTTCTCATGTTGCTGATGAAGGGATTATAAATGCTTGTGCTGGTAACCTGCTACGATACAGAAAACAAGTTGGAGCAGAGAACATTCAGATTTTTGCTGATATTAAAAAGAAACATAGGTAAATACAAGCAATATTTTATGTAAATATGAATGTAAGAATGATCTTATATTTTTCTCCATTTTCTGATTATTTTTTAAAGCCTATTTAGTGTCATGAAAGTTAATGATGTAAGGAGAACTTTATTGTTCGAGCAAGGTCTTGCAGTGCTATTAGGGGATATGTTTAAAAATAAATTTGCACCTGTAAGCTGCAGGTTGCTGCATCTGTGGAGTTTGAAGTTGTTTAACCTTCAGGATTTATAAATGCAGACTAAAAGTTTTGCATCTGGTGTTAGGTGAGATTTTGTATACTTGCTTATATGCCTATTATGTTTACAGAAATTTTGTTTCTGGAGGCGAGGCATCCAAGGTTATTTCTAGTTATGCAAGCAGTTGCCATATAAAAGCATACAAATCATAATATTTTGGCATTTTAAAAAGCTATTCTCTTTTTTCTCCTTCCTGCTGATAATACTGATTTCTTCTTCTTAAATCAGTGCTGTCTATGTACGGATTATGTTCTATGATTATCAAACAGAAGGAAGTTATGACAGATGAATCCAGTTTCTTTTCTGTTGATATTTTATCATAACTGTCACATGGTACTTTCAGCTATTTTAGATGTCACTTTTTAGTTTTTTTTTTTCCCCAGAAGAACTGCTCAAGTGTTATGTATTATACATGCTAAATAACCTAATTAAAATGTCTGTGTATAGTATGTGAGTAATCATTAGAACAACCAAGTCTGGAAGATCTTAAATACCTAATAAACAGGTAATTTCAAAAGAGAAAGGCAACAATGCAGCATGGTCAAATTAAGCTTTTAAGGTCCTTTCAGAGTGGCTTCTTTCAATGATTTCTTTACATACATGTATGTATATATATATAAAAAATACATTGCATTAGATGTTTTTTTAAAAAAAATAGACTGCATCATGTGATATTTTTTTTTTTTTTTTTTGCCTTGAGAACTGATGAATTGGTGTTCGGATTATCATTGCTGTTGTTCAAAGGGTTTGCTTTTTAAGAAGGGAAAAGGTTTTTGTTTTGGGCAGAGTAATAAGCTGAGAAGGAAATATTAAAGGACTTGTTGGTTGAGTTTTTTAATGTAAAAAAAATATGCCTGTCACTGAGAGCTGCTAGGCTCCTGTTCTTTAAATGGGGAAAAACTACTTTTGTGGTCTACTTGCTGTGTTACAGCTATCCTCCACGTGCTAGTTTTAGGGTGCCTACTATTCTGAAGCCCCATTTCAACCTCATTTTATGTATTAGGCACTTAAGCCTGCCTTTTTCCAGCTGCAGAAAGGGAGTTAGTGTTCTTCCATTTGCCTCTGTTGCCATGTGTGCCTCTGAGTGTGGCCAGAGCATGGGGCCTCCACCAGCGTTGTCCATTGAGGCTGATCCAGGAAAGACGTTGGATCCATCAGCGCTCATCAGTGCACCATGTTGGCCATAGCCATTGTTTTCTGCTTAAATGGAAATATAGGAACAACAGTCAGGTGTTGAACCAGCAATGGTTGGAGTTCTTTCAAAGCTTAGAACTGTTTAAATTAAAAGCTGCTCTTGCTCTAGGTTTCAGACAAAGTTTGTCACCCATGTGTCAAAAACTGCTGTCGAAAAGCTGGGTTGCAGATAAACGATGTTTGTAACTGCTGTGTAAGATGATTCCTGTGATTATATCATAGGTAATAACTATACTTTCTGTTAGCTGGACTTCGTGAAATGAAGTGGAGGGTGTTAATTCTGTTCAAGGCAACAGAATCTGATTTATGAATGACTGCACATCCACAACTCCCACTTGAAGTCAGAGTGCCGTGTGTGCTCAACATTTCTGAAATACAGGTGCTCGACTCCTAAGCAGCTGTCTCAATTGACACTTGGTGGTTCGCACTTAGCAATTGCTCCTTAGAGACAGGAGACCCAGAACAATACACCGATCAATTATGGTTCCCTGATGGAAAAGGCTGGTTTTTGTTTTGGTTTTTTTTTTTCCCTCTTGGTCCTATTGCAATTTTACTTCCCAATTTAAAACAGGACACTTACCCTCTCTCACAAAGCCTGCCTTTGGTTGTTCTGACAGCGGGGAAGATGAAGGAACGCAGTCTAAACATTCAGCAAGATGGATAACAAATGTGTGTGCCCGACAGTAACCACAGGGTACGTTCCTGCTGTTGACAGTGCTCATGCTCTGACGGCGGATGTCAGCGTGGCCCAGACGGCTTCGGCTGCCGAGTTCTTCCTGGCTGATGGGGTGGTACTGACCGGCACCGCTACCGGCCTGCCCGCCGATCCTCGGGAGCTGAAAGGTGAGAGCTGTCATAGGAAGGTCGGACAACGGGCAGTGAATGAGCTTCTGCATTAATGTAGAAAGAAATCTATAGATCCGCTGTTCTTTAAGGCAGGGGGGGGAAAAAAAAAGAGGGAAGGAAAACTTTGGCAGTGGGGTTTGATTTGATACAGCACATCTAATGTGATGGAGGTGCTATTCGGATTGGCTGTTGCATGCTTCTGAACCACAGTTCAACAGGACAAAAATTAAATGTCTTTATATATAATACTGTCAGTATAAACGTCAGTATATATAATACTGAATGATGCTGAGGCTTAAATAAAAAAAATGTTAAAAATGTAATAAGCTTATATAATACTGAATGATGCTGAGGCTTAAATAAAAAAAAATGTTAAAAATGTAAAATTACGTAAATAAACAAAAAGACTGTTCCATTTCTAAAAACTCCTAATAAAAGGCTACTTTATAGCCTTATTAGAAAACTAACTATAAATCTTTCCATTGAAGAGTTAAGTGGTTTTATCTTTGACAATGAGAATGGAAGTCCTGCAAGAAAATGGGCATTTTGATAAGGCAACATTCCAAACAGTAATACTAGGGAAAGTACTGCTTAGATTTTCAGAAAGAATACAAGTTCATTGGTAGATAGAACGATATTACATCAAAATAATTGTTAAATGGTGTGGACTTTTTATCAAGGGAGAGTCATTTGACCTGTTGACCTTTTCAACAGTGTTATATGATTCTTCACATTTTTATATTGGCCTAAGTTCGAGCTGTCTTCATGAAACTGGATTGCTCCCATGCTAGAATTAAAGTTCTGTCATGGGGGCATTTAATTTTCATCACTAATTTTAATTTAGATTAATGACTTGAATTTGAGCATCTACTACATAAAATAGAATGTGTATCTTTTTAGGTTTTACTTTTGCTGACATGCTTTAACTCAACATGTTTGCAAGTTTATTGTATTGAACTAATGTTAGCTGCTCAGGGTGAAAAACGTACTTTACTTGCCATAGATACCTGGACCTCAAACATCTTCTGAAGTAACACAAAATCATTCAGTGTTTTCGGGGGTTTATCTATATTAAAGCGCTTAGCAGCATTTAAAATGAATGTTGAACTTGTCAAAATGGGTTCTTATTTCATACATATTAAACTTGCTGTGAAATAATAGGTTATAAATGACTCTGCTTCAATCTTCAATCACCAATGTTAAAAAGAAAATAATGGCTTGGTGTGAACACTGAGCTCCTGAGTTAGTTGGGTCTTTTGGTAAACTAGAAATGATACATGGAACAGGTGACCCTGAAAGTTGGGTGTATTTTAGAGACTGCAATAGAATTCCATCCCTGCCTGCAATTAATGTCCCCATCCCTGTTAATGCAGATTAAATAATTTTTTAAAAGGATTTGATAAGTCTTAGGGCAAAATCCTAGGTTAAATTCTGCTTTCACAGATGCACGTGCAACTTCTGCTGATTTCCTGCATCAGAGAGCAAAACCTGACCTCTGGGCCCATAGGCTTTTTGTCACAGGTCCCCAACCAGACAGCATCATGGCTTCTGTTTTTCTTTCGTGTGAACAAACATGTCAGTCTCTGTCTCGTTCTTTTTCTGGGTCCAAAGAACAAAATGAAATCAGAGTTGGCAGCTGTAATGAAGTACACACATTAATTTTGTGTTTGGATTTGTGCTATGAAAGCCAGAGTCTGCAGATCATGGGTTTATTTTACTTAGGTCACAGCATTTTGGATGTCAGCAGGCCCTCTCATGAGAAGGATGTTGACTTAAAACAGTTAAGAGAAGAATTTAAAAATCAATATTGAAGGGTACAAGGAAATGACAAATTAGGCATATCTATGTCAGCAGATTCTTAAAAGGAATCAGTTCTACAGTCATGAAGTTGGTGTTGATGTGAGTGAAATTTTGCATTTCACGAATTTATGCAGCCCTGGAAGTGCTGTATTACGATGATACACACAATTGGGCACCTTTCATCACACTGCAAAGCATCTCTTGAAAGCAGAACCAAGAGACAGATGAGATTTTTGTCATGTCTTTTTTTTTTTTTTTTTTTCCCCAGCTTTGTTGTGCAGTAATACAGAAGTGTTTTTGCCTTTGTGTCTTTGTGTTGAATTGACTGATTTGTGATGGGGTGTGGGAAATGAGTGTTTCCCTGTCAAGCCAGAGAGCTGTGTTCAGTAGGGTTTTGTTTGTAGTTTGTGTTGCTACCTTCTTGGAGAGAACCACCAGCATCGCTCCTCGCAGTGGCTGGCAGGCCCTGCTCCGGGGCTCCCTGGGCATCCAGGGCACTGGTAAGAGACAGAGTATAAGGTCTAAAAATCAGACTTCAGGTGATTAAGGAGCAGGAATTATAGCTGAGCAGTTTTGAATTACAATTAAATAATAAACCGTATTTTCATTTAAGAGGTTATAGAGGTTTTGTTCCAGTTTGCAACTCCATGAAACATTCTTTGGTTGGAATGTGTGAATCTGTCGGGTTTTCTCTTTGGGCATAACTGCTGAAATCCCTGCATCACTTCCAGTCTGTATTTTATGTGACCAAAGCTTTATATAATGACTGCTTAGTTATCTGCTTGGGCAAAGCAAATGGCCTCAGCTGAGTAACCAGTGGAAAAGAGGGTACATCATGAAACCCAACAGCTGGCTGTGACTGTCACCTCCTCAGTTATTGCTCATCAAACCTGATTCACCCTCTCACCTTTTGATGGTACGTTTAGTTCAAAACAGAGGCGGCTGCTTTTGCGGTACCCTCAGAGATAAACGGGAGATGTGAGTCTGATCGGTACTTTCTGTAAGCCCTAGATTTAATGACAGAGAAAGTCCTTTGAATTAAAAAAAACTAAAATGTGTTACAGTGGAGCATTACCATAAACACAGTGTTGTGTACGGTACAGTGATTACTGCGTATGAAAAAGCTGTTAAAGAAGAGTAGTCGAGCAAGTTATTGGCACAGTGGTGCTTATTTTTACGCTGCTCTTTGCCATTGTTTTCAAGCGAGGAGCATTTGGCCTTTATTTCATGTAACTTGTGCATACCATAGTTCAAATGCTTTCATTGTGCTTTGCAACCAAGCACTGTTTTATTTGATTTTATTAAAGACATGTCTGCAGACGCACTGTCACAAGAAAGAGCACAGTGCCCTCTAGTTACAGTTTATTGAAACAGAGAAATGTGCAAGTCGTCTAAACTTTAGGATCTTGTTACTGTAACATCATAAAATAGTCTCCTTTTCTCTTTGTGTCAAAAAAAAATATATAATCAAAAAAAGAAAGCTGAGAAAGCTGAGAGATTTAAAGCAAAGCTCTGTGTTTAGAGACATCTTGACAGTGACTGAACATTGCCATGCAAAAGCATGTCTCCCTGCGGTTGCTTTATTTTCTTTCACAAGTTAGAATTTGTATTAACACAGCCAATAGACACATCACCTTCTACTAATCAACGTTAGGCCTTGATGTGCGTGGAAATGACTTAAAAGTAGCATCTGTAGCATACTTAATTAGGTAACCCAGTCTCGTTGCAGACTTGAGCACTCCCACTGCCATTCTTCACATTGTCAATCTGAATAAATCTCCAGCACAGGAGATGTGTGTGGACTCCACGTGTCGTGTGTGGATCGCAGCAGGAGCTGGATACCGTGCTATTTTGGAAAGCTTTGAGGTTTTCTGTGGTGTCACAGCAGTCTCAGGTTGCTCTGGTTTTCACTCTTTGCCTGGTAGGGCTAAGCTATTGTCTTACACCTGTGCGATCGTGCTCTGTTTAATTATTTGGCTCTTCGTTTTTCCTGCTGATGCGAAATAATTATAAAACAACAACTACCTGCTAATGTGCCTTACGCACTTGTTGTAAAAACAAATATTGACTTGGAAGGCAGTTCCTCTGGGAGTGCAGTAAAGCACTGATGCACAAACCTGCGGTCACTTGTAGCACCTTAATTATGCATTGGTATCTATGTAAAGCAGATATATTTCTAAGAGCACACAGATACTATATAAATAAAATCCTGAGTTTTCTAGAATGGGACTTCAGTAATAATGCTATAAACAACTAAAAATTAATTATTTTCTTGCTGTAAGCAAGATGACAATAAGAATATAAAATATGCATAGAAATAACTGAAGTTTTAATCATATATGCATGATCCATCTGATTTGTTTAAAATTTCCAATAAGGACTGTGTAGAGTGGTTTTATTTTTGTGTTAACATCTTTGTGAGAAGGAGTTATTGTTCCTAGATGGAAAAATGGTAGGGCATGTGGCCTAAGAAGAGATTCAAGAGCGTTTTAATTGATCGCCTTTCTTTGGAGAAGTAGGAAGGTGATAAATAATTAGTCTTCCCTGAAGCATAATTAATAAGTTAGGCTTCCAATGAAACTTCATTTAAACCAACAGTGTTTTGAAGCAGTCTTTTACGTGTTGCATATATGCTTTCCCTAGTTACCTCGTGCTCTAACCATTTTGCATCAGCTTATCACCAATTAAGGCAATTCATATGTTTTTAAAGTTCAGAAATAAAGCCTCACAACACTTCTCTAAGGAAGGGATGAAGCATCCAGTTCTATGAGTGACTCTTCGGATGGTTGGTTTGAAATGAAAGAATGAGAAGGATGCTTAGTAATTTTTGAACTGGGATTTTTAATTTATTTTTTTTTCCTCAGAGCTAGTGCTGACCCAAGTTCTGCAGAAAATACTCTAATAACCTTTTATTTATCTGTGGGGAACATTTCTGTGGTTTTATCTCCTTTTGTTTTTATTCTAAAAAACCTGAACTACAGTAACTAAGTCATAGATCAGTTTCTGCATGGTCAGGTCTGTCCGAATGTGTGCATTTCACAGTGCACCTGTGACTAAGGACTGAAAACCACCCCTGTGTGTGAGGGGTGGAATAGATCTGTTATATTTTGAACCCTGTTTTGATATTTTGTCTATTTCTCATTTTGGAGCCAAGTAAATGGTCCAATAATTAACACATACTGCATATAGAAAAAATAATTGGCTTTTTTGTTCCATTGCCATTATAGAAAGAGAACTAGTTTTTATAAGTACTATCTTTTGCTTTCTGGTAAACTACCTGGAGCTATCAATAGTAGTCTATATGACCAATCTTTGCTTTCCTACTTCCAAGTCCCTGAAATTTATGATGAAGTAGAGAGCACATTCCTTTTCCATTCCCTGTGAATAAGACCCTTCTTGTTTCTTCACTGAAGATCATCTTCTAGTTGTCAACACAGCATCAATTCAGCAAGGAGACCTGGCAGAAATACACACCAGTCCAACTACCATTATTGTCATTTAAGCTGATGACTGAAGAATTGTAATGAGCATAGCTCTGGTGAATAGTTCTGCCACTATGATGGTCTCACCAGACTTGCAAAAAGAACCTGAGCTGATACAATGAATGGAAACAAGAACGGTGTCTTATTCTTGTACCTGTATTTTGATTACTCCGTGGAAAGATTGTGGGAGGTGATTATTCACCTCTTCAGGTGAGGAAAATGGAGAACACAGTTATGACTGCACATGGGGATGGCAGCCCACATGGTCACTCCAGCACCAGTCAAGGCGATGGAGCTGGTTTACCTGGAATCTGTAGGAGGTGCTACTGCAGCATAGTAGTAAATGGTAGCTCCTTTCTGTGTGTGTGTGATCATCATTCTGTGATTCTCTGTGTAGTACCTTGAGCACAACACAGCCCCTAAGTGTGGTGGTAACAGTCACAGTCAGTACAAAGGTCTGGTTCGGCTGTGCAAATACTTTCTGCGTCTATTATCTCTTCTTACCAGGGATGTGGGATAAAAATGAATTTATAAGGGAATATAGTAAGATGGAATACATTCTCTGCCAGGCAATTCAACTTCATCTTGCTTAAATCTTGTTCCTTGAGAACAAAGAGGGGTATGTGTATGGTACCAAGACCTGACTTTCATACCTTCCACAGCACTGAAACCATCCTCTGATGGTTTCCCAAGAATATTCTTCTGCAGTATTTCATAAAACAACAGAATGCAAAATTAATTAAAAGATTTTTCTTAACAGCTGTTCAGACCTAAAGGTAGTTTGTTTTTTTCCTAGAGAAGTTGTTCCGTTCTATTCTAGAAGTAAGAAATACCGTGACAATTAATTTTTTGATATTCACCTTTTTTTAGTGTTGAAAAACTAAGCAAATTAGAGTCTTGATAGAGTTTCAAAGATGACAATTAACCCTAATTTTGGTTTTCTTCTCTTCAGAGGTTAAACATGCTGTGAAGATTCCTGTGCTGATTGGGTCTGGAGTGACTCTGGAGAACGTGAGGGATTACTTGGATGCAAACGCTCTAATAATTGGTTCGTATTTCAAGAAAGAAGGTTATTGGGCAAATGGTGTTGATCCTGACCGAGTAAAGAGATTTATGGAACATATAAGTAAACTGAGAGATTGAGTTTGTCAGTAAAACACTGGTTTTTGTGTGTGTAAGTGCAGTATGGTACATCGTACAGAATTAAAGCACAAATGTGTGCTTGAATGGCTAATAAAATTAAATGAAAATGCACATCATAACTAGCTGGGAAATACGGTGACACTTTACAATAAACTGGTGCTCTGATGTTTGCTTCTTGGCAGCATGTTTCTGTGGCACTCAAAGCCATTGTCAATCAAAACCAACTCTCCTGTAAGCAAAATGCTTATGTGGTTTAAGAATTTGTAGTAAATATTCATCACAGGTGAGCTGAATTTTGTTTTGCCTGCGAGTACAATGGGATGCCCTAAGTTTATAGCTAAGAGTATTGTAAATTGGACAAGTTAATTAGCCTTTCAGTTTCCCCATCTGTAAAATGATGATAATAGTACCTACATCACACAGGGGTTGTAAGACATAATGAATGAATGAATGTACAGCACTTTCATCTCCTCAAATGAAGGGCTCTATTAAAGTTCAAGATCATTATTTTTTCATTAGAAATGTGCATTTATTACAAAAAGGTAGTAATTGTATACTGTACAAAAATTTAAGATAATTGGGAAGTTGATTTACTTACAATACTTATTCTCTAATAAATGTAAATATTTAATTACATTTTAAGTAAAGCTGGAATTTAGTCAAAATGTTTTTGCAAAAATTGAAATTTTAATAAAGGTTATTGTTGTTTTTCAGCAAGCTCCCACAGCTTTTTACCTCTCCACACTAGTATTAGTGATGTTAAAAACTGCCAGGTTCCTTCCAATACACAAGGTGTAATTATGACGGAAACCTTTCTACCAGAGCTGACAGGTAAACACAGATTTTCATTATTCCTGTAAAATGTAGGAGGAAAAATATGACAGTGTCACTGTGTATGTTGTGAGAGATTCCCCTTGCATTTGATATCTTAGCTCTAAGGACATTTAAAAGAACCTGTAGAATATGTGTTATGTCATAGCTGTATAAAATGTGGGTGTGTGTTTTCATTCCTTGGGACTGGGAGCCAAGTTTGTCCTCTGGGATCTCTCCGTCTCTTTCCTCAACATCTATGCATCAGGCTTCTGCTGATGCTAATGAAAGTTATATTGTAGATATCAGAGCAAGTGTACAAACACATCTTGTGTGTCAGCTGGCAGAGTGCCCATGTTCCTCTGGACAAAAGATACGTCCTCCTTCCAAAGGCAAAAATATTTTCAAGAAATTTAGTTTCAACAATGTAATGGTGATTCCAGAACATTACAATATGAGATTAAGTCTTCTCACATTTCTTTTTTCGGGACTAGTCTGTCTCCTGCATGACTCCCAGCAAAAGCAGTGGAATGTCTCTGGTGTGCTGACCTCCTGGAAAAGACAGTCTTTAGAGCCTATGGCAAACTTGGCATTCTTCTGGTTTTCTCCCCTTTCCTTCTCTTAAACACGCTGACAAAATTTCAATGCATAGAAATCCTTTCAGGTGCCTGGTGCTTAACTGTGGCTGGCACTGCTTTGTCAAAGTCTGCATTTACACAGGTGTTTTAATCTGCTGTGTGTTTGGACTTCCATCAAAACCAAGAGTTCCGCCCCAACCGCTTGTCCCTACCATTTCTCCTGTGCCAGCAGGAGCATTCATGGGGCCTCACAGGGATCAGAGAACTGATTCTAGCTGAAAGCTCACCCAGTCTTGTACCAGCCACACTCAGAGGGTGTGGGGGAGAAATTTAGGTCATTTTCCTCATTCCTTGCATCTGCAGCTCTAACTCCAAGCCGCTGGTATAGGCAGTGCAGAACTATTTGAGGATCATGAAGATGCTTTTGCAATCTGCCTTCCACAGACTAATTCACCCACAGCATATTTACCAGGTAAAGCATTGTCCTAGTCTTTAAATTCTTAGCTTGAGTAATGAGTGGCATCTTATGTCCTCTTTATTGTGAAAAACACCGCATTCAACAAAAAAAGAATGAATTTAAATATCTGTAACATCAGTGTGCTTAAATCGGTATATATTTTTCACTTTTGTGTATTTAGGACTGTTTTCAGGCCTTTCACAAGTTGCATGTATTTCCATTCATCATTGCACAGAAGATTTAATGATGGTTGTCCCACCACATATTTTCTAATACAGTTGTTACTAACTTTGAAAATTATTTTCAGTAAATCCGTAAGCTGGAAAGGCTGACGTGTAAGCAGTGAGCACCAGCTGGTGCTCCGGTGCCATAAGAAGAGTAGTAGTCAGCTGAAAACCACAACCAATACACTGATAAGGATCCAGTGATGATGATGATTTCGGTTGCCAAAAGTCACATTCATCACTGTGAGTGTGAAAATACAATGTGTTACCAGCACATCTCTTGAATTGGTTCCTATAAAGAAACTGATTACGATTGCCAAAAGTCACATTGATCACTGTGAGTGTGAAAATATAACGCGTTACCAGCACATCTCTTGAATTGGTTCCTACTCATTCACATCCTAAAAGCTCAGAAGTGACTGGAACTCGAATGGGGTTTCATCTGAATAAAAGGGGTGGTGAGAACTCCTTCAATGCACTGTGCAAGGTCGAAATGAAGTAATGTCATACGCAGTAGTCTTTGTAAGACAAAAACCCTAATGAGTTGGTATAATTCTCATAACATGGAATGAATACTGTAGACAGCCCTTTCACTGTCAGGATTACATTTAACACACCACTGCGTAACACTAATGGAAGGAGCAGGCCATAATTTGGGTCTGTATTGTTTCATATCGATGGTAAGTGGAGAAATTAGGGAACAGAAGTAAAGGAAAGCTGATTTTAAAGCCTGGAAACATGACTGATAGCCAACTCTTTATCATTCTTTGTGCTGAAAGTATTTGTCTAGCAGCATTAAGCATCTGCTTGCGTGTTTCACACAGATGCTGTAAGTCGAATTTGACCTTTTGTTCAGAAAGTGTTTGAATATTTAATGTAAAAATATTAAGTTATCAGAAAGGCTGTCTCTTTTGGGAAGACTCTTCAATTTTTATACAGCCCAAGTTGTTAAAGTACTTTGGAGCATGAATGACTTCAGAGCAGAACAAAGCAGGCAGTGCTAATGTGTAGAAACTCCAGAAGTAAATAACAGCTGTTCAAGAAGACTTCTATTAAATATGTATTAATTAATTTGAAGTACATCACTTAAATATGTGAAGAGATTATCTTGTGTTAATTTACATTAAAACACACAGCACTTGTTAGCCTCATTACAGTATCCTAAGTATATCCTAAGCTATCACCTCGTCCTACATCGAGCATTTTGTTGGGTGTTGATTGCTTTCGATTTGCCCTTTTAAAATGTCAGATAGTGGCCTCCCTTTCTTGTTGGATCTCTTGGATCTCTTCTTCCTCTCAGGCTTTGCTCTTGCATAGTTACTGTACGTACTTCTGTCCATTCTGTGTTAAGCAGAAAAAACTCAAATTGTGAAAATGTAACAATAATTGCCCACCCCAACTTCACATGTGAGCTCTTGCTGTTAACTTATGAACTGGCAAAGAGAATGTAAGTGTCCATTTGTGTAGCAAAATTACTTTTTGAAGATTCAGTATCACTTTTAGTACAGGAAAGATACCTAGAAAAATGAGGGTCTTTTTAGTGAAATTATAAGTAAATAAAACTCACCAGTAATAATAGACTTTGTGGTGTAAATCAATGTATAAATCTTAATAAACCCTCATTCCATTCATAAAATTTAAGTATTTTTATCTGGACATAGTAAGACAAATAGTTTTTTGCCACTTCAGTGCTGAAAATATGTAACCTTGTAAGATTTACAGATAATTTTCAAAGATTTTCTTCCCTGTGTCATTTAGGCAGCTGATCCAGCTGCGAGGCTGTTTTTCATCCCTTTATTTTGACTCTGCAGACTCCTTAATTACAAGTTGGAGTTCAGTTCTTGTTTCCTGCACCTATTCCAACAAACTCTTCACTGGGGGGAAACTGAGGAATATACAGGACTTGCAGGCAGGTCCCGGCAGAGTAGGAAGGGGGAAGGAAACCAAAATATTTGGCTTTAGCAAAATCTCAAAGTCAGTGACGAGTTGCTACGTTGCGTGGTTCTCTTGAGAGAAGTGAATAGGGATGTTTGCTGTAGTTTCAGGTTGTTTGCAGCCTCATCAGTTAAGGCTTTGTGAGTTCACACCTAAATTATGTTTCCAGGATCGTCTCTGCTGGAATATGTGCACAGGGAGACATTTTTTTCCTAAATGAAAGCTGAACTTTTGCAGGATAATTATGGCAATAAGAGGTGATAGCTGTAGCAAAATCCAGGCTTGAAATTCACAGCTCTTTGGTTTAAGATCAGATTTATATGTATGTATCTTCAAAAAGAAGCCATTAAAGGTTTCATTTGCTTCACTTAGAACTTCACTTACTTCCTGTGCCTTTGCCCTCACATCCAGTCAGTGTTTGCTGTGCTGAGGAACTTAGAAATTGAGTTTAGGAACAGAACTGTCCATGGCATTTTTTTTGCACATTTGCAGTGCTTAGGTATGCAACCTAAATGACACCAAGGAATCCAATCTGGCAAAGTTACTCCTTGCCTACACACTGTCTCAGAGCAATGCCTTTGGGGCACTGAGGTATTCCAGCCTTCATCGATGAGTCCCTTTCACCCCTGTGCTTTGCTCACCATCGGAGAACCATCCCTCCTGCCCGTCAGCCTCTGTGGGTCTGCAGCAAATAGAGGAAACGGAGACAGCAGCTGAACTAAAAGCTAGGCCAGATGGTTTCTGGTGAAATGGTGAGAGCAATAGATGCTTTTTCACCCCAATCTTTAAATGCGCAGATAATTTTAAGAAGAAAAAAAGTCTTTCTGCAATGCAAATAGGAAAGCCTTTCACATGAGGCAAGAGGGTTGCAATTTGCAACGTAGTCTGTTTCTTTGCTTACTGTTTGAAGCTTTAGAAGTAGCAAAGGTAAGGAGAGCCTGAGATGTTTCTTGTTAAACACTTGAGGATAGGAAAAGATGTGTGAGGGTAATTATCTTGATTAAAAATCTGTTGATCTTATTAACAGGTAGGTTTCTTTCAAGATGTCAAAAAGGGATTTTGCTCATTTGGGCAGAATTACTACTCTCTGTCTATGTTTAACTTCCCTCTTTCCTGCCACTGTCAAATTTTCATTGTTTCACAAACTAAATTCAGTGTCAGACAGCAAACGTTAGTGTTTCATAATTTCCTTTTTCCAAAGGACATCACTTTTCTTGAAATGAATGGGACAAAGCTGCTGTTTGGTTGCGTGGATCACTGGGTTATTGAATGTTTCGTGTATTAAAATGCAACATCTAGTTCTGTCCTACTACCTATGCAAAGGGAGATGGAATCAGTGCAGGGGGTGGGAGCTGGTAGGTATTAATGACCTTTTTATGACTTAGTGAACAATATTAATTTTACAAGTATAAGTTAAGTATATGAGAAATTTTAAATATCTAAATTTTCCAAATCTGATATGAAATCAAGTGTTCAAGTAGTTAAACTCAGAATTGTTTGCCTTTATGCTGTAGTCACTGTATTAGCTGTGCCATATCATACTGCTCTCAGAATGAGGTCATAAAGCAGAGGACATTGAAATCATGTTTCATACAAATGTAGGAGAAATCCCGAATTCAACAGTAAACAAGG